TCAGGTTTTTTAAATATAAAATGCTGTTAAGACACATTTCTTTGAATACGGAAATATCCTTTCCAGAGCTCTTTGAAGAAGTTTAGAGGAAGATATTATTACCTGATTCTGCTCATTAGTCATAATTGAAAGTCTGTCCATTATGTGGAAATCATTTTCCCTCAGGTTCTTTAGTTAACAAAGGATGCTATTTAATAGAGTTAAAGGAGCTTCTAAAAATTATTGAACACACAGTAGATAGTTAATTTTGAGTTTTACTTTTATTTGTGCATTTGCTTGTTTAATATTAGACATTTTAATGCTTTCATATTTTTCTTTTGATTTTCAGCACAACTGTGCTGTTTTGGAAACACCACAGTTAGTATTTTTCTTATTTTATGTATGTGGGAATTGAAAATCACGCCTGGTGTCCTATCGGTTTCTTAAGTGCACTTGCTCCTTGATTATCACCATGGGTAGATTCCCAAGACTAGGTCGTTAGGAAGAAGTCTGCTGCATGCAAAACTGGAGGCTGAGCACATGCGGACCCCACAGTGAGGCTCCCTGTGTGACTGCCCAAGCATACGTTACATAATGGCCAAACCGCTGAGCCTTGAGGTCCAGGCAGCTGACGCGGAGCCAGTGTACCTCCCTTCACACCTACAGTGGTCATTACTGCCCGGTGCGCATGGTTCATCCGCAAAACGTGGGGTGGGGGTGGGGGCGTAGATTTTTAGAGCTCTCGTAAGGGTGAAATGCTGACGGAGATAGCCATCGAGGAATGGGGATTTATAAAGCAGAATTTTAGAACAAGACTTAGGGTACTCACGTACCTAGACCTAAGGCTTGGGTCTTGCCCTCTGTGGCCTTGATGTGTAGTGGCGGCACCTCCCTTCCACTGCCAGTGGGAGTGGGGTGTGAGTGTGGTGGTGGGCTGTTTGAGGGTCACCCAGGTCAGGTGTGAGTTTTTGTTCTTGAGCTGTTACTTTTGTTTTGAGGTAGTGACAGATCTTGAAGGACGGAAAATAGGAAAAGTTAGCCCGAGTTGAGGCTGGTGATGGCGTGCAACTCCCCTTGTTGGAGAACTGCTCGCAGCCCCAGGTTATCAGAACGCGCCCACTGAGCGGTAGACCAGAGACCCCGCTGCCATTGAGTCGATAATGACTCCGAGCAACCGGGGTGGGGTTTCTGGGACCACTTCTTTACAGCTGAGCGGGAACATCTGCATAAGGGCCCGGGAAACCATCCACCCCTGTTCACAGCACACGCCTCACCAAAGAGAAGCAGTTCTAGCCATCACATAGGAGCGGGTTTTTTATTTTTATTTTATTTTTTTTAATATTCTACATTTCCCTGATGTCTTTTTTTTTTAACATTTTATTAGGGGCTCATACAACTGTTATCCCAATCCATACACACATCAATTGTGTAAAGCGCATTTGTACATAGTTT